TATCTATCACATGTTTTGTTTTTGTTAGTTTGTTCCCGTCCAAGTGCCACTGCCTGCCGGTATTGCGGGTGTCCCTGCGACCGAACTCCGTTAAGAGCCTTAGACCAGACTTTCCGGGTGTCATTAAGCGCGAGGACCGGAAGCCTGTAAACTCCCGAAGTGAAACGGGTGACAGCGACCTGTAGCAGTCCACGCGAGATGGAATCTCAGTCGCAAAATGCGGAAAACTAGAGACTAATTGGGCTGGCGTTCCGCTGACACAAGCTCGTTTCGTTGGCATATCAATTGCCGCTCACGTAGCGCAAGAAAAGTCGTGAGAAAAAACAAAGCAAGGAAAACGACGGCCGTTGACAGCGTTTCTCCAATAGCCCACTGAATAAATAGCCACTTCGCTCTCCCACACACGTGCGATGCCACAACACACACAACGGTTGTTTGGTGAGACTTATAGGCACCCGACAGTGGACCAGAGGGCGCGACGAAGCTCTTTGGGCCGCCTCAGCATTGTTGGTACCGACCGCCAGGGATACTAAGAAAATGGAACGCTCGCTCCACACATGCCCTTTTTGACACGTTTTGAAGAACGCTTCCTGGGCACCTACATATTCAGCCATGACCATCTTGCTCACAAATTAAAAAAAAAAAAAATTGGCAGCATATCCACGAAGTGAATGATGGAGAGTGGGGCGAAGCATTCGTCCGTTCATTCGTTCTTGCTTCCGTCCGTTCATGCGTCCGTCTGTGTCACCGTCCATGCGTCCATCCGCCCGTCCGTGCGTGCGTCTCTTCGTGCGTCCGTCCCTGCGTTCGTCCGTGCATCCGCCCCTGCGTCCGTTCATGCGTCTATCCATGTATCTGTCTGTGTGTCCGTTCGTCCATCTATTCAACACTCCAAGTCCCACCATCTCGCATCTTTTTATCATATATTCCCCATATAGAAGCACCGTCATCTAGCCGACATTCCAAGGACTAAACGAGAGGTGGCACACGCACACTTTCTTACGGCTTGCGCATCGGGTCTACTTCCCACCTTTAACTATCTTGAGTTCATGGTATATACTAGATCACTGTGTTCATGGCACTGCGGCCCAACGCTCGCTAAACCTTTCTAAAACCAAGGAGGTTACGCCCAGCGAGTATAACGTAGCAACCCTTTCTTGTCAGATAGTGCTCAATGTACATGCCAATGGCTGCTAATGGGGATCGCAGCGTGCGCGTTAACTAAATGTCGAATGCTCCTGTCTCTTATTCCCTATCAGCAGCCATTGGCATGTACATTGAGCACCATTTTTTATTGTTCAACAACGCACAAAAGAAATCTCTCACCGGCCCCACCTCGGAGGTCAAAAATGTTATACTTGTTACATACTACAACGGCTACGAGGGACGAACGGGTGCCGCTATAAGAAGCTTCGCCTCTAAAAAGAAAATAATATGCACGTGCAAAGCTTGGTTTTGCTGCGTCTACTCGATAGGCTACGCATTGGAAGACTCGGTTTTGCTGCGCCTACTAGGCTCTGTGTTCTGGCGCTACCATCAGATCACGTAAATTGCATTGCCGGGTGCCTATAGGCACCCGGCAATGCTATAACTGCCCAGAATACCGTAACTGCCCAGAATAAAAATAGTCACCGGCAATGCAATAACTGCCCAGAATACCATAACTGCCCAGAATAAAATGATCAAAAAGCGTGAAGAAATATGAAGGCAACAAAAAAAATGGGAGGGGGGGGGTGGCGCTAACTTGAGCAATCTACATTCTGCTGATAACAATGCCGAAATTTCGCATGACGTTAAATAGATTAGTAGTAAGGCAATGTGGCAATTCCATGAATTGCCACTTCTGAAGCGTGTCGTGCATTCCGCGTGCCCTGTAGCCGGGCTCCTACATCGCCCTTCATTCTGGACACGTTGTGCTAACCAGCAGTGACGCTGAAAAAGTCTGCGCGTTGCACGTGTTTCAATGTATATGTCACATACTGAACAAAAAAAAAGTAACATCGAACATTCTGTCTTTCGTATGTGTCTCTGCCCCAGTGGCAATAGGCTTTTAAGAGTGATATTCATTGAAGGGCGTTTTATAGTTAGCTCTAAATGTCTTAAGACATAGAATTGGTGTAACGAATAACGAGTGCACGTACCCACAGTAGTTGTGCTCAACCTGACTGTGCCGCCAAGATTTTATTTAGGGGGCGTGGTAGAAGCTGGGCCAGCATGTGATATAATAATTGCCTTGCCTAATTTGACACTAGTTAAGTATTCCACTGAGAAAACGCGTATCCGGTAAGCGGGAGCGGGTGAGGTGGGGGGGACGTCTCGTGCTTTCACGTTGCTTTAGGCCAGGTAATTCATATGTAGTCTATTGTGCACAAGCGTTTCGAGGCGGTGGGAGTGCGGAGGGGCACAGGAGTGTGCACGTGGGGGGGGGGGGCATCCCTTCCCTTAAATCCCTTGAGATGGAGGGAGGACGCAAAGGCTGTTACACACGGTGACCTAATATGGACGGGGGCGCTGCGACGAACATTTCCACCCTCCCTGAAGTAGAACCCTGCGTACGCCTATGCGGAGGGGGGGGGGGGGGGGGCACGCACTTGTTGCGCCAACCCTGTGCTGTGATTATACCTACCTATATTATCAGCGAGGGGCCTAGCTTGGAATGACAGTTTTATAAAGAGACCTATTGCGTTACAGGCACCTTTGATTGTATTACAATTAGGATTTCTAACAGTTGCTGGAAAATATTAGCAGGCAGAATAGCCCCTTACGGAATGCCACAAATATTTGCTAGCTTTCCGGTGTGACGGCGTATGACGCCAGTGTTCTGAAAATATTTGTTATGACAATTGCCCGCCCTCGGAACGAACTAATGATATCACAAGCATTCACATCTATATGGTGTAACAATGACAACCAAAAACTATGTTCTAGTGTCTTTTCGCCACCGTCGACACAACAAGCAGTGTCATTGCCATTCTCATTCGACAACAACAACAACAACAAAAAAAAAATAGAGGCAAGGACATTCGTAGACAGGGTCGACAAGGCAAAGTGAGGTGTAATTGAACGCAGCGGAAAACGTGGCAACTGATATATTCACATTTCACAAGTCAAGTATCAGAAAAGTCAACAACGCGTGATGTTCGACTTTTGTGTGAACACTGCTGCTCAGTGGGAGCACCAAGAAAACCAATGCGCAGTTACACAGAAGAAAAGAACAGGACGACGCTTCGATGGCGTGTTTGTTTTCAAGATGGAAGCATACGAACTCTACCCGCTTAATGTGATGCCACGTGTAACGAGGGCCTTCCCACTAACGACCAGGCTTCGCCATAGCAGCGTGACATTGTTGCTGATCGTTGTCGCAGGATACGGCGCCAATGTTTTTTTTGGAGTACAGAGAAACGATGAATGATTCATGTCCATTCGATATGTCACACCCCTCAATTTGCAATTTATCAGGTTCCTCTTTCTCTCAGAATATATCTTTCGCCGCGTCACCGCGTACTCAACAGTGCAAGGCCGCCTTCTGAAGGCCACTACCGGGGAGAGCCACGAGACATACAAGCTCAATGTCACTTTTTTTTTTTACGAGCAAAATAATTACAGTAGTCAGCAGGTGACTGGCACCACGTGGAATATTCATATTGCGGGTATCTTCCGGTTGCATACACGTGCTTTTCAACGTATACTTATTCAGATAAAGAAAGATAAAAGTAACTTGTACGCTTGTTTCGTTATTACCATGCTACACCACATATCATGTGCGCATATGCAACGCCTATTGATAGGACAAATCATGATTCGCCACTTGATATGCGCCCTAAGATGCACTGTGAATCAGTATCCTAAGTTTGTAGCGTATTCATGTGCAATCGAAAAAAAAAAGATGTGTTGTGTCTAACAATTTTCCGTGCTACTCAAAAACTTAAGCCTCTCCAGATTACACTGTAAAAGGTTTTCACTTTACTATAACATGTTCGAAAAAAAAAATACGGGCTGTAACGCGTCGCCCATTTAGACAAGGCACGCAGTCACAATAGCTAGATACGCGAGGAATATTGCTAGGAAAAATAAAGATTCCAAAAAGCCTGATTCATTCCATATCCTTAGTGAAAATATCAACCGACGGCAGAGAGCGTTATTGAACAAAAAATTTGTGACTCTGCGCCGACTTCTCTTTTGGTGTTCCAGCGAAGGTGCTGTACGCTACTTCCAAAAACTTCGGCGGGCAGGGTAAAACTGTGGTGCTGATACCACACCAGCAGTTTTATCAAAATACCTTGCTCTTGTCTGGTTAACCTCCCTGTCCTTCTCATTTATTCCTCCTCCTCCTCCTCCTTGCTTTGTGCTTAAGTTAAGGCAAGCTGTCAAACGCCATCTGAAGTGCACGAATATTTTATTATATCAGCCTATATCAATTCAAATCGAACCGAGTCTTTATAATCACACTCCAATGTGTCATCGAGCGTTGAACATGTCCGGCATACGTGCGCAGCCAAGTCTTAACTCTCATCCACAGCAGATAAGTTCGCGAGCGTCTCCAAAGGGACCAACGTGGTTTCCTAGATACGGAGAATTAAGGCGCGCTGTTACGAGCGACAGTCCCGTCGTCAATACCGTGGCAACCGTAGTTCGTCCTTCCGATTAGTACAGCGACTAACCACTGCTAATTTGGCTCAATGACACATCTAATCTCCCATGAGATTGACAGAATTATGAGGTATTCGTAATTAACGCAAAAAGGCAGCATACAAATGGAGCTTTTCTAATTGCTGTAATCCCTTTAGCATTTTGTCATTTAGTCGCTTCTGCACTCGCGCGGAACAAGTGAGAAAAAAAAAAGTGCAAGCCTCTGAGATGATGAAGATAATAGGGCCGGATGGATCTTATGGCGGGAAGTATGAAATCGCACGGTCTTCTATAGGCCAAATGATAAAACCACGTTCGCGTGCGTTCCGGCGTGAGCGTCTAGTGTCATCTCGAGATGCGGCCACTCTCACCTGCTTCTGTCTTGGGCAGCAGAAGCGCCACGGCACCGACTAGCAGCAGCCCGACGATGACGTTCGCCCTCGGAGAAGACATGGCTGCTCCCCAGCTCATCGCGCACTCCACAAGTACCGACTGAGGGCGAAGAGTTCGCGTCGCACCGTCGCCGAGCCTTTATAAAAGTTCCTCTCTGCGACCTCACCCGTAGAGCAAGCATTCTCTCCCAGCTGGGAGCTCCACCGCCGCCGGTCCGGCAAGGTCGTCAGGCCCTGGGGCGCCGGCTGAGAGAGCGGTGCTGGCGAAAGCACGGCTGCTGCCTGCCCTGCTTGAACGAGCCGGTCACGCTCCTTCGGTGTGCCGCTCAGCCACTGCGCTGAAAGTGTTGGCTGGCCTGCGCAGACCAGCCGGCGGCCCTGTCGAGCACTGCAGAAGAGTCTATGGCCGCGAACCGGCTTGACCCTCTCGATCGAGCCAGCATGTGTCCGGGCGTGTTCGCTTCAAGGGACGCGCTGCTTCCGTTTTGAGCAGCAGCAGCCTGCATGTCTTAGCAAAGTATGCCCTATCGTGAAACTGTCGCCAGGGCTCCATTGTTAAAATGCTGTGTTCATGTATTTCGCATTAAATATCATATATTCTTAACAGATACCACCCTAATAACAGTTACACAGTTTCTTTCTTCATTGTAGGTAGCAAGAAACTTTAACAAGGACAGAGGCAAACAGGTTTGTCTTATGTCACCTTTGTACTTACTAAAATTTCGCGCAACCGACAATAACGAATCATTAACAACTACCCCAATGAAATAGTTTGACAAGTCACACGCTCTCGAAGCAATTCATCTTCTGCTGTCTTCCATGACCGATCGGTTCACAATGATCTCCGTTGCCAATAGCTTGGTGACACTGCCAGCTCTCTGTTGGGCTGCTATTGATGCTTGCGTGCATTATGGCATCTTTCTTTGTGAGAGGCCACAGGCCCATTTACACCAATTGTACAAAAATTATGACTTCGATTGCGAGCTGTTTTCTCTCAATATGTGGGGTGTCCCAGCAGACGTCGCTAGTGTATTTGTTTTAGTTCTTTCTGGTGTAACACCCTAAATTCCTACGGCACAAATAAACAGAATTAACGGCGAAGCTGGTGGCAAAGTCAGCCCCATACATTGACATTACAGATGGAGAGCACCGAGACCAAAATTTGCCCCTTTCCATGAAGGGGAAACTTGCGCATGCGTATGTTGAAAGTAATGAAGCGTATACGTCAGGATTCACTACAATAGGTCCCTTTAGAAAACCGCACATGTTTTTTTTACATGTATCTTACCACCGGGCGTTGAAAAGTAAGGGGAATTCCCGTGTTGCACCCGAAGACTGCGCCCGTGGCGCTCCACATGTTATAGGAACCGAGAAATGTCACCCAAGGAAACACAACATTAGGAGCGCACTTGCCTACAAATGTGTGCAGGCCCTCTGAGAATGAGTGGATGCAGCAAATAGCCCCCGCTGTCGTCGGATTTTCCAAATGTCGCGCGGTTGTGCAACGGCACGCCGTCTAGATAGGACCGCATACGGAAAGAACCGAGTCGCATGGTCAACACCGAAACACCGTAATCAGCTCGACATCGCCGTCTTTCTGCGATTTCATACAAGCATGTTTTTTCGATTTTTCCGCGAAGACACGTGGCTTCTGCCAACGGGTCCCGTTGGAAGAGCTATACGCAGAAAAACAAGATCGCCGCGGTGTTAAACGAGAAGTGCCCATAGACAAGTGTTCGGCCACGTGCCGTCTTACTGCACATCTGCGCAGCATTAATACAACGTTCATTGCGACGGACAGTTTGAGGTCACTGAAGGGGCGTATACATACGTTAAGTGCTACATTAAAAGGCGGTTAAGCAGCTGTAATCTAAGGCTCTGTGAAGCACAGTGTAAATCTCAATACCATTTACCTGCGGTGTTTCCAATAATGCATTATCGCGATAGTGTCAGTGGGCACGTTTCGCAGAAATTCTGGTGTGGGTGTCGTAGGTTGTGAGCGAAAAATCCAGCGTCTTTGAAGACGAGAAAAATCGGGAAACGTGCAAATAAAGTAAGCAATAAAAATCTGCGGTAATAGTGAGAATCGAAATCAGGCAGACCAGGCTTGCAGTGACGCAAGCACGTGTTTTATCATACAGCTACACCACTTCCTGAAACAGCTTCTCGAAAGCTCCTCGTCAATCGGAACTTGAAACGGTCCCGTCGCAATGTTGTCATTTTGTCACTACATTGTTTTTGTCGTTCTAATAATGTCGTTTATTTCGAACAAGTTTGCACAGCAACAAAAGAACAGTGTGCGAAATTTAATGGGTGAGTAGGGCACATTCAGGTTATGAAATTTTTCAGTAATTAGGTAAATTAGTGCTAGTATCCCTGCACGTCTCCAGTACATAGGGATCAGGCACAGAATGAATGATAACTATTGAGCGATACGGAAAAAAATAAAAAGAGATGGAATTGCAGCGATGTCAAAGCAGATGCATATAGCGATGAAGTTTCATAAGGTCGACTGCTGGGCTAGTGGACTATACGCTACTTCACCACACAGTGTAACGAAGATCCACAGCAGTGTGGCCGGTATTAAATTATAAAGCAACCAAAGGCAGTAATCAGTTATTAAACAGGGGATTAAATATCGAAGCTTCTTTTTGTTTCTCTAAATAGAACTAAGGTAGCACTATTCTTTATTCTTTATTCATGAATTACCTCACAGCACCCGAGGGCGTTATAGTGGGGGGGGGGGGGGGGTTACATCAAAGAATGACGTACATCATCGTACGCACACAAAATGCATCAATAACTGAAGTACACTTTTGTTCGCACACATAATGCAGTCATTTTCACACATAAATACATCTTCGTTCAGCTTGCAGCACGGGATTACAGCAGTGAATAAAATACATCTTCGTTCGCACTATGTACTTGCTTTTCAGTTAGCTCATTCCACTGTTTAATTGTTCTCAGAAAAATTAATTTGCATACATGTTCATTTTAGCTTGTTATTCCAGGATCTTGCAACTATGATCAAAACGTTTCGATATGTAATTAGGTTTGTGTGGGTAAATGTCTCTATTCATTTCAGTTTTTACTATTGTAAATCAAATAAGTAAACTTCAATCTCTGGTTATGGCGGTGGTCAGGAAGACACTCCTATCCTGACTCAGCCTTTATTGCAGTGCAGCTCTCCCACTTTCCGTACCGTCCCAAGACGAACCTAGCAGCACGATTCAAATATTATTCAAGAGCAACAATAAACGTTACCTCGGCAGGGTCCCACACGACACAACCGTATCCCAAGATAGTTATAATACAAGTAGTGTATGCGATGCGTTTTAAATTCACATGTGAACATCGCAGGTTTCTTTGAATAAAATTTAAGGCCTTACCAGCTTTCGCTATTAGAGTGTCCACCTGAGGCCTCCATGAACACTCAGATGATTGTAGCACACCTTACTAATTGGACTATGGACCATAATGATGACTATTATTAATTTGACTAATTTGACTAACATTGACTCCTTAATAAGTTTTCATCACTTGTGATACTTTCTTCCAGACGCTGAGGCGTCGAATGATTGTACGAGCGGCTTAGAACAATTTTAGCAAACAAAAAGTCTGGAAATTATTCCGTTGGCTTAGCATACCTACACAGTGCATCTGTTATAGTTATATGGTGCAACAATTCTTGTTACGTTTTTCTACAAATACATGTCATGGCATAATTGCTCCAGTCCGCTCCTTTACTGAGAAGTTACGCCTATCACTAAATGCTTGCCTAAAATTCTATCTACATTTAATTATGTTGAAACATTTTCACATGTGAGCATACAGCACCATCCTATAGCTGCAGCTCGAGCTATGTAATCAAAACAAGCAGCGTTTTTTTTTTTTTTTGATGTGACTGACGAGTTCGCCTTTCGATAACATTTTAAACAACCTTTACTGCAGCCTATCCATTGTGCTGTTTCCTTGAAATTGCTAGTTACCGAGTCTAATCTTATACACTCTTTCAAAATGTTACCGTAATCTGTAATTTGAGGATGGCGGATGATGTACTTACGGCGTAATTGTTGCGACTGAACGCCTAGCGTTGACGAAGTTACTTAAAGAACTGTACCGGCAGAAAAGTTGCCTTATCGAAAGCTTTGCGGGTAATTGGCAATTATATGAAGACATGGTTGCCCAACTCGTCGAAGCAGCTCGTATACACGAAGAAAGAAAAAAATTGTAAAGGCTGTTTCACAACTATATTTTTCATCGCTTGTTTATTTGAAATGTTGGTGTCGTGCACGGATGATTTCCCGTAATATATGAAGTGTTTCGGCAGGGCCACGGCCGCTGAAAAGTTCATTGCTTTCCACCTCTCTAGTTCAGGTACAGCACCAAGATTTCAAAACAGGGGAACTGCGTCACGCGGTGAAAACCTTAGCGCGCATTGTAACTAGTAAAGTGCTGTATGCCGCTAGTCGCTTTTAGCAGCAAAGCTCCTTAAGCTGTCAGGAAATTGTGACCGGTAGTAATAAAATGTGGCCCCGTATCTGCATGTAATCTGCAAGTTTCGCCGAAAGACGATAGTCTTGCGTGTGGAGAGAGTGAACAAAACATTTATATGATGTTCAGCGCAAGAAAATCGGTGACTTGTATTCTGGAGATGCTGCGTTCAGAGTGACCTCGAGCGTGCAGCGGAAGGCGAACGAGCGCATCAAGTCACGTCACGCGTGAGACATGAAGGCCATTGGCAGTCTTCTTGGAAAACAAAACGCGCGGCTCTGTGACAGGTGTGCGTGCCCCGTCTCAGAGGTGATATGGTGTAGAACGCAAGGCGGCGGACAGGTGCCACTACCAGTCTCATCTTAGCAAAGCGTTGGAAACACTCGCCTTTTTCGGGCAAGCGTTGCATGATCAGCGCAGCGTGATAAGCGCTACGGTCCCTTAAAATTATATTATGTATGCCTTTTCTAGTAAAAGACGCACATGCAGAATATATACGTGTTGTTATAGTGCCCCAAACATGCGCAATAATTGCGTTCTAATTAACAATTGCATGAGTATAAATGCTAAACCTTGAGCAACATTAGTGGGTGCTACTGATTGGGTCGGCCGTTTCAAGTACCTATTGCCGTTAAAAGTGAACAAACAAGCAAGTGTACAGACAGACACACAGACAGACAGACAGACAGACAGACCAAAATTTTTACCTCCAAGGTCCCCATGAAAGCGTATCGTCTTTAAAAAAAGTGTCACCATCACGAACCGGTATGCGCTCTCTTCATTCTCTGCGAGTAAAGCTGTTTAAGCTACAGGTAACCTGTGCTCCGTCGTGCATAACTCATATGGTGCGAAGGCGCCATAGAATCTCGGCAGCCCCCACTTCCGTGTACAGTAGACACGAGGGTCAAACTAAAGGAAACACGTGAAGGAGGAAGAGAGAAAAATGAAAGAGACAGAAAATATATAAAAAGAAAGAAAAAAATATCAAGAAAGCAGATAATAAAATTAGGAAAATAACAAAAATTAATACATAACTACACCGAACTACAGAAAAACATAAAGATAGGAAGAGAGAGGAAAAATGCAAAACAGGAACAAGAAACAGAGAAAGGAATAGATACAAAGAAAGATGACGCGATAAATAGAGAGAGACAGAGAAAAGAAAAAAATCTTGAAAGAGCGAGAATTGATTGATTTGTGGGGTTTAACGTCCCAAAACCACCATATGATTATGAGAGACGCCATAGTGGAGGGCTCCAGAGATTTCGACCACCTGGGATTCTTTAACGTGCACCCAAATCTGAGCACACGGGCCTACAACATTTCCGCCTCCATGAAAGAGCGAGAAAGAGAAAGCAACAAATAGACTGAGAAAAAAGTGGGGGGGGGGGGGGGGGGGGGGGGGGGAGCAAGTACAACAAAGCGATACTGTTATGGTCGGACAGGGGGCACACCGTGGAACGCCTTTATTCTCGAGGCCCGCACCGGCAGCCTCAGTAGAAGAAATACAGAAAAGTGTGTTCTTCGTTTACCATGTAATTTGCATATGTAAACATATCTTTTTGTAGCAATTTTTGGTGTGTCTGTGGATGTTGAGTTGCGTGCACATATGTAAGCATATCTTTTTGTAAACATTTTCGGCATGTCTGTGCATGTTGTTTCCATCGCGATGTTCTGTTGGATTGTAATTGATGTTCGCTGTTCGTGAGAATAAATTTTTCTAAACACAATAACCGAATACTATACAAAACACAATAACCAAATGGATGGTATATACGCGCACGCTATCTCTTGGAGCATGCGCAGCCATGGAGCAATTTCTTGAGAGCATGCATAAAAGCCATGCGACTGACGTGGTAATAAATATAATCAACAGAGAGAAAGAGAGAGAGAGAGAGAAATAAAGAGAAAAGAGAACAAGGAAAAGAGGCCCAGCACCACTCCTTCATCAGTCTCGGCATCCCGATTTTGATGTAAAGTAGATTGAAATGCATCACGGCAAAATTGCACCACATGTTGGCGCCAATTCACTATTGCTAAAGTTTATAACACTGTACTTTTACGGGAAAACAGGAAAATCTGTTGTTTGATTGTTAGCAGTAACCTTGTTTCATGGCACTGCCTTATTGTGTGGGTTGGAGCATAGTCACGTGATATCATAATGACCTAATTAAATTTTAATGACGAAATGACTGCAAACGCTCTCCAGTGAGGTAGAAACGATATGAAAAAGATTTCTTTTTTAATTTTTATTTCTTGAAAACTGTGGTCCGCTGTGCATCCACGCTGCGAGTCTTCCTCAATCGAACGTGCCCATAGCTGTTAACGTGAGGAAAATATTTATGCGCGAAATACGATACTCACATAACAGTTGCCTTTTTTCGTTATTTCGTCCATAAGGAACGCTTGTTCGATGCAAAGTACAACTGCTTGAGCATAGTATTGAAAAGATTATAAACGCTTTACAGAAACATCGAGTCAAAATTATGCGGAAGAAAAAGAAAGACTTTATTCACCCACCACCGTGCATGGAGCAGCAATTGAGTGTCCAAGAAATGTGAACCGAGGAGTAACTGAAACAACAACAAAAAAAGATTCATAAGTTAGTGGCGTTAGCATTATCATCTGCATAGAATCAACAATCAATGGAAGTCTTGTTACGTGGCAAACATATTTTTTTCCCCCGTTAAAGCTCACTTTACCTATGAAATCGCTCAGGTGAAAATCACGACATGAGCACGTGAGGAAGAAGTGTGTTTTATTCTTTCGAAGAGTGGGAAGCTTTCCACGACAAAAACATCGTCATCAAATCGCACTTACACCTGTCCCACGCGCGACACAATCCTTATACGACAATCAGAAAGTGACTTCAAGATAAAAAAAGAGAAAAGTCTGCAATGCTTCCTATTTTTGTGCTTAGTTATTTACGTATTTACTTATTTCTGAATTGTCCTTACTATTAAGTATATCTCTATACATTTGTATGGGGGACTCAAGTATGCGCCAGCCCTTTCTTTGTAGAAGCTACCTATAGGCGTCAAACAATGCGTCACTTCCGGGCGGGAAAGCACCGACGCGACCTTCAGCGAGTCGTATATCGGGGAGGACGTCGGAGACGGCGTAGCTGCCTTGACGGAGTTCGATGAACGCTGCGAAGGTATGCCTGTTATGTGTACATAGTAAGAAGCGCACATACGCGCTATTGCCGAACGAAACGACAATCGCAACTAACGACGGAACCACTACGACTCGATGAGAGCGAGGTATGCAGTTCGGAGAGATACACAAAGTAGGAAGGCATTTTATTACAATGGGTATACTGGACGTCGGCTCATAGTCATTCACATGTCGACGGAAGTGAAATTCCTGATTAGACGCGTTGCCACAGCAAGTGTTTCCATACCCTAAAAAGCGTAGCTGCGTGATTCCTGAGTCAGGTGACGTCTCTACAGTGACGTCATGAGAGAGAACTGTGCCGTTTCACAGTTCCTACAATTTCGCCAGCGTCATAACTGCCGCAACGGCAGTGAAAGGTCGCCTTTCACTACCATTGCAGCACTTGTGACGCTGGCGAAATTGTACGAACATCCGAAACAGCACAGTCCCGGTTACTAATCACAACTCCTCCCCCCCCCCCCCCAATATTCAGCCAGAACAATCAGTGATACTGAAAAAATGGCCATATTTTTGCAACGCAAATATGAACGTACTTTTTCCTGTCATTCGAATTTTGGCGGCAGTCACGTGACGGTAACCGAAAGTGCTGCTTCGCGATCCCCAGTAGCCCGTTGTGGCTTTCTTGTGCCCTCTGATTCACGTCACATCCGTGACGTAAATGGGGTGTTTCAAATATTTGGGAACCCAACCGCAGAATACTTTCATTCTAAGAATGTTTTCCCTGCGGCCGCCTCTCTCGTCTATTCTTTACTACCTATTGTCGCAATGGGTGGCTCATCTGTTAAACTTTATCCGTTATATATGGCAGCACAACCGCCGTACTTATGTAATATAATACGATAAAACGCTCTATTGTAATATGATTCCATCAACAATTGAGATTCACACTTTTGAACATTATGAGTACCGTCCTATATTCGAAATTGAAGTGCAACGACTCTTCTTGCATATTTAGTGTGACGACAACTGACCGTACCTAATTATCGTTAATATTTTAGTGTTAAATTATAAATAGCGTTAACATGTAGACAATAAACACTGTATTAGTGGCTCAGAGACGTAACATTTGCAATCGACCGAAAAATCGCGTTACATAAGGTGATCTTGAGCGAGCGTCAGAAAATAAGTGCACGTATTTCACAAAGTGAATGATGCATTGAGGCTCTAGGTATCGTATCGGTGAGTGACCGTACGTTACCAGTACGTTGCCCCATATAATGTAAGTTGACATAAAGTGTATATAGAAACGTAAGTTTATGTTTTTAATGATATTCAAGTCAGAGAGCGGCTGTTCGTATGGTGCGTGCCGCAAGGTTGATTGTATAACAGTAAAAGTCAACTTTAAAGCTAGGTTCTGAAGACCGTAATGTCTTCGTGGAAGTCACCGACTAGTATAAAGTGTTTGTGCTTGTAGCGTTTTGTATTGTTCTGTCTCAATCGATGAATATTAGTCTATTGTAAAAGCATTTTTTTTGTATCTGACATACGTTTCGACTACGGCAACTCTTCTATACCCTGACACTGACCTCAATGGAAGACAAGGCTAGGTCTTAAGGAACTTCGCCTCTAAAAGGCACGTCGTTATAACCTCAAGGCAAGCGTGGCAGCAATTTGGTCATTCACTGTGCTAAGTGTGGCTGTCTACATGTCACACTTTCGGGAGCCTTATAAAATGTAATGATGAAGCTTGTGTTAGTGCCCCGTCGATTGTTCTAACAGAAGATTGTAGCTATGTCCAAAAATAGTCTCTTATGATTAAACAATAATGTGCTGCTAAACGCAGCCACAGCAGGAACGCTGATATCATCTCCTCTTCGTGTTTTCTGTTTTGAATGTACATGTACGCCCCATGTAAGAAACCAAACTGTATCAAAAAGCAGCCCTCTTAGAAGTAATAAGTCAGACGGACAACCAACATCCAACAGGAGCTAAATCTTTCGGGAACAGACTTACAAGCACCTCAATGCGACGAGAGCACTGCCGCGGTTTCTTAGAAAAACTATACTGAACGCCGCAATGAGACTGTTCAATAGTTTTGGCTTGATACTCCTTGGGCATGTCTTCTGTGACCACCTTGTAATATTGTTACAGACTTTCTTGTTCACTGTCACTCACTCACACCCCTTTTCATCTTACCAAGTACAAGATAGCCAAATGGAGATTTCTCCTTAACATTTTCTCTCTCTCTCACTTTCTCTTTGGACGTATACAAACTAGCAAATGGGCGAAGCATGCCTATTTCTTGGCACTTCATCGACATATTGACGTCAGCACAAACCCTGCGTCCTCGCCATCATCCGGCGTCGCATCGAAAACCGGCGGATCATACGCTCTAACGCCTCTGCGTACAACGAAGGCCATTGCACCTGTGACAGCCGGGCAGTTACGTAAACGCCAGTTGTTGTGCCGACTCTCCGTTCTCGCGCATCGTGTTTCATTGACGCGCTAAGTGCTTCCGAGCGCGATTTTGTTTCGATGTTCCATACACACCGGCTCCTGAAGCAATTTCGCAGAGGGCTGCGGCTTGCAAAGCTGCAGGCTGCGTGCACGCATTGCCGGCCTTAATGAGTTTTCGCGTACACAAACTCCCCCGCTCTGCGCCTAAGTGGGACGCATGGCACATCGGCAGAAGTACTTCCTTCTCTTGGCAGAATCGAAAGTCCGCAGCAGTCACGTATACATTGTATGGGCTGTGGATGCGCGCAAGCAGTATGTGTGCATAAGGCGTTATGGACTCCACTGAGAACTGGAGGGTCACGAAAACGAATACGCATGAGACGAAGTAGAGTCGGAGTGAGGCCCACCGAACTCCTTTATGGAGTGAACACGATGCCAAATACACGAATACATCTTTGTTCTTATCCCTGCAACCAATCCTTCATTCAACGGTAACTTGTGCACCGTACTTTTCTGCCCACGATATATCGCGCAAAGAATTTCGACGGCCAAGGTCTTGTCGAAGTCTACGAAGCAACATAGTTCTGAAAAAGAGACAGAGAGATAAATATAGAGCAAAGGCCGGGAGGTTAACCAAGCTGGGCTCGGTTGGCTACCCTACCCTTTGGGTGGAGGAAAGGGAGAATAATAGAAAGGAAATAGATAGAAAAGAGGAGGAGTAAGAAAGAGAACGATGAATAGTCAGCTTGAGACTACACCGCACGGTCTCCCACTTTTTTTTCACAAGTGGTCGTGAAGTCTGGTGGTTCTTAAAAAGTACAAGAGGGCTTTGGTGGCGTGGCTTTGCACGTATGGGAAGCCGTCGGCTAAGGTCTCAGGATCTTCTCTTCTGTAAGCAGCCGTGAATCCAGCTGACAGAGCTTCGCTTCCATAATACGTCGTTCAAACTGGTATGCTGGGTAATGGCATAGAATGTGCTCAAGCGTTTCCTCGCAGGCGCAGATGTTGCATGCCGAAGTGCTCGCCATTCCAAGGAGACGAAAGTACGCATTCTTAAATGCCACGCCCAGCCTCATGCGACTCGGTAAAGTTTCAGCGCATCGTGGGAGCCCGGATGGCAAACAAAGTTGCAAGCTTGGGTCGATCAAATGCAGGTGCGTGTTGGAGAAACCTGGTGTTTTCTATTGTAGGAGAGTTATACGGCGAGCGACTGATTGTAGTCGCCTTGAAGCGTCCACTCTCAAGAGTGGTATGGGCGTACGCAGGTCTTGGTCATGAGCCGATCGAGCCGCTTCATCAGCGCGGTCATTTCTGACAATTTCGCAATGACGGCAACCACTGAAATACAATATCGTGACCTTCCTTGAGCGCTTCGTGGTAGTCGTGCCTTATCTGATATACTGATTGTTCGTGTAACCCATGCTGCATAACAAACCGTAGTGTCTGTAAGGCTGACCTTGAGTCGCAAAAGATGGTCCATTGGTTAGGTTGCTGCCGAAGATTGTACTGCACCTTGAAGCGCTGCGAGCTCTGCTGCTATCGACGTCGTGGTGTGAGAAAGCTTGCATGAAAGCAACACATTATCACATGGAACAAACACTGCTCCTGTAGAGCTGTTGGAATTAGTGGAGTCATCGGTGTAAACTTGTATGCGGTCGAAGTACCTTTCGTCCAACAGACGCAAAGTCCATTGCTTCCGGGCTAGCGGTGACATGCGTGCCTTCTTAACGATTCCAGGAACTGATAAGCCCATGTCAGGTTGACGGACACTCCATAACGCAGCTGCTGGATGCATAGCAAGTTTGAAGCCAGGCGGTAATATATCCTGATGTTTTGTCACAATACCGCAGAACGAAGAATGGGGCCTCCGCGCTGTCAAACACGCTAAATGATGTGACGGTAGCCGTGATAAATGCCGAATGTGCGCTCTCAGCGTCTCGACAATGATATGCGTTCTGACCAGCTGTTCTTGTGCGATAACTATAGTTGCCTCTGTCGA